GAAGAAACAACTTAGTGTAAGTAGTGTTCTGTACGATCCGTGCTTTCAGATACCTGCACAGATACTACGTGCTTTCAGATACTACGTGCTTTCAGATACTACGTGCTTTCAGATACTTGCACAGATACTACGTGCTTTCATATTCCTGCACAGATACTACGTGCTTTCATATTCCTGCACAGATACTACGTGCTTTCATATTCCTGCACAGATACTACGTGCTGTCAGATACCTGCACAGATACTACGTGTTTTCATATTCCTGCACAGATACTACGTGCTTTCAGATATCTGAACAGATACTACGTGCTGTCAGATATCTGAACAGATACTACGTGCTGTCAGATACTTGCACAGATACTACGTGCTTTCATATTCCTGCACAGATACTACGTGCTTTCTGATACCTGCACAGATACTACGTGCTTTCAAATACCTGCACAGAAACTACGTGTTTTCAGATGCCTGCACAGATACTACGTGTTTCATATATCTGCACAGATACTGCGTGTTTTCAGATATCTCCACAGATACTACGCTTTGATACTAATTACTAAAGCGAAACATGTAACCAAACAGGATAATATCGATAGCAATGAAAATAAATATAACAATTCTAATTCAATCCATGGAGGTAGATTTTGATTATTCTCCTGTCCACCATACTCAGCCATTGCCCTTATCAGTTAATAAGGGGCATATGATCTTGCTTTGGTTCAGGGAATCGAGTTATCAGACGGTTGTGAGTTCAATCCGAGTGTTGAGTAGTACAAACGGTATAAAAGAAAGAATATATTTCAATTCCCAAGATCTTATGAAAAAGGGAAATTCTAAAAATCTATTATGCAATTTAAAAAATCGAACTTCTTTGATGATAAGGTAAATTTGCCATTAATCTTCTGTTGCGAGTTGAGTTTTGATCGTGTATACTTAGCACGATTGGCGCAGTAGCTATCACTTCTGTTTCCTTCCCGACCAGCCAGCTTGGCATAGGAGTGACAATATTATCTTCCTCATGATTTAAAATGCTCATCCATTACATAGAACTCTTTAAATATTAAATTATATATTTTCTTTTCCCCAGTAAATGCATTCATTATCTTTTCTGCTTTGTCAATGTTCCCAGGATACCCTTTGCAAGAGATTTCGCTATTTTACTTCCGGTTCTAGTTATTTGATCCATTGTTTTAATTCTGAACAGTTTTCTTTGATAAGGGTTACATCTTATTTTATTAAACTGGGGATGAAGTGACAGCAGGTTTCCTCAATACAACAGCACCCTCCTCAGTATCATAGTTGTTTAGAAAACGTTTTGTGGAGGATCTCAATTGTTTCCCTTATTCTTAGGTTCTTCACGGATTTTTTTTTCAGATTCAGTGGGATCCTTCACTGCAATATTGACAGACATTACCGTTCATCTTCATGTTTTTCAATCTTCCTCAATTCTCTTGCAAGTCTGCGATACTTATCGAAGATTATTATTATTATTATTATTATTATTATTATTATTATTATTATTATTTCCTTTGATTTCTGTTGTATACACATTTCCTTCTGGGTCTCAACCAGCGACGTAAGCCCAGAAATGGCAACAATATATTATCCACTGAACATTTGTGTAAAATAAAAAAAATAGCTACAAACGCATATAGATTTTACATAGCTAAAGACCTTTGCCCCAAAACATTTTGCAATTCCATAATATATGGACTGCCAGTGACACATTCAATGAACCAGAATATTTTCCAATTAAACTCAGCACCTTAATCACAATTGGAATTATTGATGTCTTCAAATGCCATATTAAAAAAAAAAATTAAGTTTTAAAGTATTTTGATAGTTTTTTTTTTTAAATCTTCAAAACTATTTTTCAATCTGCAGTAACGATCATGTAAATAAAGCATATTCTGTTTTGTTGTCCTAGATTTCTATGTCTGGGTGATTAGCTCTGCGTGTCCTATAATGTTGTAAGTTCTCGTAAAATTGTTACAGGTCCTATGTCTATAACTGGATCAGGGTAGTGTTCATACCAATTTTTGGCAAACTCCTTCCCATAAAATTTGCAGTGTTCCCAGGGCAGAAATTCGCCTACCCTGTCATGTCGAGTTTTATATTCGGTGGATTTTCTACTGTCCAACCTGATGGAAGATATTCAGTTGCTTCTGAATATTCATCACAACATCTGTATTGGGGGGGGGGTCAAACTATTCATAATTATTATGATAATTAGATAACTGAAGAAGACCAAAGATTACAACGCCGCAAATATTGTGATAAAAAGCAATCAATATCGAGTAAAATATTTCATAATAATTACACACAGAAAAAATAAGCGAAATATGTTCTTATGGTTATTGTAAGGAATCCATTTGTGATCATCTTTCAAAATGTCATTATTGTTACCATTAAGCAAATACCACACTTTCTGAGAGGCACTTTCTAATCTTCTGTTAATTCATACAGAATCTAATTTTTTTGAATATATTTCAAATTTCATATTGTACACCCTTGTGCAAATTAATTGAAACATCTGCTTTAGTTTCCTTTCTGTCACCATTCGTTCAGTTTTAGACCCACAAGAGTGACAGGACGTAATCGATTTATAATTTTCCCCAGATTAGATGGTGTGCAGTAATGTGAATCTATTTTCGATGCAAAAGAAAAGAATTGTGTCATTCATGATTGCATCAGATTTTTTTATCACGCCCAGACACTACTGTCTCGACTGTTGATTAGTTGTCCTACAGCCATTGTCTGCGATGGGTATTACTCTAAGGAAGCATACGAATATTGTAACACTGCACGAACCGATTACCAGTGAAGAAATCAATGTAGTCTCCTGATTTAAATCAAATCAAGTATCTGTGGTCAATCTGAAAGGAACGAATTCCTGGAATGGATACATAAATTCCTAACTTACTACTCACCCGGGGTGAGTTGAGACGGCTCCAATATTGGAGTTTCATGAGAATTTGGAATTCGCAAGAGCTCCCCAAATCTGCATGTATAGGCTTCAAATCAGTTCCCAGGAAACCGACAGCCCGACAACAGCACATGAGATTTGATTATAGTGGTGAAGGTTTCGTGCAGGACCAGCCACATTTTTTGAAGGGCCGATTACAGAGACCTGGTGCACTAAGTGCCACAAGGTCCCCAAAGGACCCCCCCGTATTTTGAATTCAGAGTTTCCTCCTCCAGTACCAGTTGCCATCCAAGGCTATAGAACCCAGTCTGTCCTGCTATTTACCCATAGCTGGAGGGAGGAGAAGAGGATTCATAGCATTCCCAAGGGTATTAGCAAGTAAGTGAATGTAATATATATATAGCAGAAGCTGCAATATTGCTGAATATTTGAAAGAGTCCTTTTAAGGTTACAATCTTTCTTGGTTGCCTGGTTGGGGATAATATTCATCGGATTTGCTTCTAGGTTCATTTTTGATATTATCTTCAGAGAAAAAATTGCAAAACCAATTTGTAATGTGTGCTCGTTAGCGGTGATTTTCCGAATGTTAAATTGATCCCCCTGGTTGCATTGATTGAACCACTTCAAAACATCTATACAGAGAAAAAGATATTTTAAAAACATAAAACAATTAATTATTATGAACGTAAGCAAAGAGAGAGAGGGTGTGGGAGAGAGAAGTCAATTTGTAATACCAAGAGCCAACATAACACGTAGTAAATTGTAGTTAAGGATTCATTTTATGACTTATAATCTAATGAAATAATCAAATTAGAAAATAAATGAAAATAACCCAATATTATGAACACTAATTTCAATTGTTCTTCATAGCAGCAAGTCGTAATTCATCGTCAATTTGACGCTTAATATGAAGCATTTTAATACGGTTGTATATTATATAATATAGAATGATACAGTATTATATAAATTTATTTCCTTGTGATGATACCATATCCTGAATCATCGTTAATCTGATACTTCCAATATGGCAATATAATAGCCAAATTAATAATAGCAAATTCTATAATAAATTATTTATCTATATGGATAACACTAATTGCTGAATCGTTCTTAAATTAATGCTTCGCGTGGAACAACTTAATAAGTCAAGCCATGTTCTCAATGAGATAAGGACATTGACAAAAGCGAAGCAACAAACGTCTCAGGCCAGAAGCAGAAGAGCCGATCCATGAATAAATAATTGTTGTAACAGTCGACATCCAGTGATTCGCTTGAATTCAAACGCCTAGCAAACACGAAATAGTCGGTCGTGTGCTACGAATGGATCTGTGCCAAAGAAATCCCCGACACGACCTACATCTTGTCTTTCTACTTTGCCGCATAAATCATAGACTAGTTCAGCCTTTTCAACCCATTCAACGACTGTGATACCTCGGTCTGAACCATGAAATTCTGGGACTAGCTTGCCGTCCGCCATTAGTGCCGAAATAGCCTGTTGTCATATACAACAAAAATGTGTTGAGGTTTGGTTAAACACCTAACCGATTATTCTCCCAGTAACTATCGAGGTAATAGGGAGAGAGACTTGAGGTAATGATATAACACTGCTTCGGAAACCACAGCAACTTTAGAAAAAAAAATGCCCACTGGATAGACTTCACAAGACACCGACTCCTCCCAACTGCTGACTGCTGGTTTTTTTTTTCGTTTCTTTTATTGGTATCTTATAAAGATCCTGTTGCAGAGAGGCCTGTATCTAGACATGCCAATCTGTTCCGCTGCTAACGGAGAAAACCCACATGTAACATGTCTCTTCTGCGTCTGTTCTGGCGCGCGTTCGTCACAATAATTCTGTAAGTTTTGATGGATACTAGGCTGGTTGTTTGTATAAACTGCAGATAACACTCGTCTGTTTTATTTCCTCTTCTCATAAGAAGGAATCGATTATATTTTCTTTTTATGTGTTAAGGCAATATCATATTTCTCATAAAATGCTGTTAATAACCTGCTTGATAGCACAGCGTTGCAAATGAGTACCACAGAAAGGTCATCTGCGTCTGAAATTAGTCAAATATGCGTATGGCCATATCAAGCTGAAACACCGGTTCCCGTACGATCACCGTTAAGCAACGTCGATCCTGGTCTGTACCTAGATCGGTGACCGCTTGGGAATACCAGGTTCTGTAAGCCTGGATGTGAATGGATAATGACTCGATATTTTTAATCGTAGAATCGAGTTGGGTTCGTTATATTCACTGGCGCACAAATACTCTTGGAAAAGACCTGAATCAGCCTCTTCCCCCAGCTATGGGTTAAAAAGTAAATTGTTATTATATATTTAGATATAGATTAAGTCTACATGATAGGAAATATTTAAAAATAATCAAAATAAATTTCATAAAAGATTGTTTGAACTCTCTTTCGGCATTTGGATTTCCAGTCTATTTTTTGATCTTCAAAGTTATCTTATTTATTGCTATTCTTTTATTATTTTCTCTCATTTTCCTTAGTCATATGCCTTCACACTCAGTAACCTCTTGCATCTTAGTGGCTTTATTACCTTGCTTGGTCTGAAATTACGAAAAGAAAACAGTTAAGCACTCCAAATTACAAATAAAAAAAAGTTTTACATTTTAAGAAACCTTGCTGTATGACAAAATTTGTTTTGGCTTCTGTAGGAGGATCAATTTATAATTAATTTACATAACAAACTAGATGTCTGTTTTATCTTTATAAAATTTAACAACAACAAGTGTAGTAATAATAGTCTAAATTTATTGTATATAAAATACAATTGTGGCACAAGGTCGAAAATTGGGGGGGATGGAAGAGGCTGGTCATCACTTACTATCTTGTACGTAGCTAATCAGATTCACGATACATTCACTCATTACAATTTGCACATCCACCAAAATAATTTATCCATCATCAATGAATCCGTCATATCAGACAATGCCGCAATACTCTCAGGGGACTTTAAAAAAAAACAAGACGTAGAAAATTAACGATTATAAAATTCTATATACAAATTCTATGGATGATACGTTTATAGGGGGGGGGGCAAAAACAAACTAAAATATCAAAACAAATACATGAAATAAAAGGCTAACTGATGTTAGTTTGATCCAAACCTTAAAAGAATTCATTGAGGCCACTGTATTCGGCCTATAGACAAAATTAAGAGGCTCTCTCACTAAGGGAAAAGGAAAGGATAAAATAAATACAGCCATAGGGAAAGAAGAAAGCTGACCTGACCCAGTCGAGATGAAAAAAGGAGACCAAACAAAGTGGGGAGGTTGGGAATCTCGATTTGGATCATAACCAAAGTAGAAACCGGAAACGTTACTTATTGGAATAATAATAATAGCCATTTGGGATCTGGAATGTTTTATTAAAAAAAAAACAAACAATTATTTACTCTGCTTTATGAGCCTACTCTTCCATACTGGCTCAAGGCATGTTGGAAGAGAGTATTTGAAGATTGTCCCATAGAAAAAGAGATAGGTTCACTTTCGCGTAAGTAACAAACTCGACCGGAATTCGAACTCGGCTCTATTGATTTCTCACTCGATATCCATTACACGACAACGCACGTCCTCAGCGGAGTCTTTAACCAATAGTGAAATGGGGGGGATGATTAATTCTGGTCGTAGTGTCGATTGTACAACGCTACCAGATAGGTCCAAATTACAAAGCCAAATGAAAGATCTGCTGGTGAAATGGCTCCATTTCTGTTGATGTGTGTGTGTGTAGGCGTGCGTAAAAACAAAAAGACAACGAAATAGCAGTCAAAAGAATGTCTCTAATGCGGACTTATGAGGAGGTTGTACATCTCCATCTAGACAACAAAAGAAATGTATTGCTTGAAGAAAAAGAACAAATGCCATTTTTCTGTGCGTGAGAAAGCTCTTTTAAAAGCGACATTTTAAAATATGCTGTCTGGGAGATGAAATTCAATAAACACACTTCATATTTTCTCAATCGTTGTGTCGGGTTAAAGAAAACGCTCCAATATTAGATATTTGTTTTTTTTTTTTTTTCAAAAAACAAAGAAAAATAAATATGGTGTTCTTTAGGGTTTTCTTTTCTGGAGGACTTTCGTAACGGAGACGAATTTTTATTTTTAACTTTCAACCAAAGACACAAGCGAGTTTCATTCCGCAGCTGTACTCGGAGCCATGCTGGAAAGATCTTGTTTCCAAACAGACTCCGTTCGTTTTCTTCATTTCATTATTTTTTTTTTACCGCGCCATGTTTATTGATCAAAAAAGAAAAAAAAATACCCAGAGTTCATTCCATGTCTCTCTACTCATTGGTTGCTTGTTCGTTAAATGGTTTACCAGCACAAAAGGCGAAATAATGATGTGTTACATTCTAAAAAAAAAAAAAAAAAAAAAAAGAAAGAAAAGTGTTATGCCATTGCGCGTCTTCGAGTGTAAATTTCCGTTGCAAACGACAAAAAGAAGTACAAACAAAACTTTGTACTATAGTCTCGTTGCAGGAGAACTGTAGATTCTTTGAAAAGTTAAAAAATCACAGATAATAACGAACTATATATATATATATATATATATATATATATATATATATATATATATATATATATATATATATATATAAAGAAAGAAGAGTAAGATATATAATCCGGTGTTCTTATAGATATTTTTATTTTTACAAAATAGTGCTCAATGTAAATTTACAGAGCATTAATATTATAAATTAATTGATTTAAAATATGTTTTTTTTCGCTACACAGTTCTAACCATGTTTCAAAAATGGAAGCTAAAAGCTCCGAATTTAATTTTGTAATTAGTTCAATTTCATCCTCAAGTGAATTTATATATATTTATATATATATATATATATATATAAAAATATATATATATATATATATATATATATATATATATATATATATATATAAAAGTATATTTCTTTTATATATATATATATATATATATATATATATAAAAGTATATTTCTTTATATATATATATATATATATATATATATATATATAGGTAGCACCCTTTCTTTTAGACATCTTTCTTTGAAATTGACTCAGATTTTAATTTTTCAGGATTCTTCATTTTTTCGTATTGTGGGAGTAAGAGAGGCCTGAAATTCTTTCTACTGCCCATTGGCTTACTTCCTCAACTATTTTCAGGGAGGACGTTGTTTTCCTTTTTCTCGATCTCACTGTAGATTATATACTTCAGACCACAAATATCTTTTTAAAGTATACTATTATTATTATTATTATTATTATTTTTATTATCATTGTTGTTGTTTTCTTAAATTTTATAAAAGATAAAACGAAAATATAGTTCTCTATGTAAGTTGATGGTAAATTGATCCTCCTTCGAATGCCAAAACAAATATATTCATACCCTAAGGTTTCTTAAAATGTAACACTCGCATCACCAAGAGAACCTCCCCTCCCTTGAAAATGGCTAAGGAAATAGGCAAAAGCTCTTGGGACAATGGACGGTATGGACAGATTTCTTTTCCCTCACGCCCACTAAATGTAAAAATGTCAGAACGCTGGAAAAACTAAATAAAAAATTAATAAAATTATCATTGTCCGTCCAATTTTACGAATGACGTTTAAAAGAAAGGTTGCTAACTAAATATTTTTTTTATCGGGGTCACGACAAGCAAGGCAGAAATGTCAGTAAAACAAAAGGCGTTACCGGATGGGTAAGAATTAGGAACAAAAAAATTAATGATGAGCAGAAAGTGAAAAGAGTAATCAGGTGGATAGCAGATAGCGATTGACATTGTATTTGAATTTCTGAAGTTGGAGGGAGCCTGAAGGGAGATCTACAAGCAAGAAGTGCAAGAGAAGAAACTGTTAGCAAAGAATTTAAGAATTGTTGAGATCTCTCCCCCCCCTGGCTTGTACTGCGCTTAAATTCAAAAGGTTTAGGTATCAGAACGAAGAGCTAATCCGAACAATTACCATGAATGTATTTTTAGAACAAACATGGAGAGACAAAATTTCGGTGGTTGGAAAGTGACTGAAGCTGATTAATATATATATATATATATATATATATCATTAATGCATGTTTCATTAAATAATATAGACAAGTTTTGTCTATTTATTTTAAGTAAGTTCCTTTTATATTGTCTGAGTATCGTTGAAAGACGAAAGGAAAACACCATAGTGATACATGTTTGAATCCAATCTAAGCTTTCGGCTTACAAAAGATGACAAGTTCAATAAATTAAACAACACACGGACGAAACAACAATGATAATCCGCCCTTGCTGCATGAAAAATTTCAAAGTAACCACAAACTCGTATAGACAAGACGCAAAAGTTTAGATTGGATTTAAACATGTATCAACGATAATGTGAATACCCGAAAGAAAAGAATACCCGCTCGGCCCGGTGGCTAGGATCAAAGTGTAGTATCTGCGCTTTGTGAGCTGCCGGGTTGGGTGTCTGTCGAACTCTCTGCTTGCCGAGAGGAACCCGGACGAAGCTCCGCCGAAGGGTAGGGTTTCGTTGGGGGAGGTTGACGGAACTGGCCCGCCTCGGCGGGTTTGGATGGTTATTTATTTTTGGCTGGGCCTACGGGATCAGAGATACCCACATTAAAAAGGCCTTGTCCCACATTCGATCCCCGTGGGTGGATTGATAAATACCATACCATCAACGATAATGTGATTAAGCTTATCCGACAATATGAAAGGAACTTGCTTAAAATAAATAGACGAAACTTGTCTATATTATTTAATGAAAGATGCATTAATGAAAAATTGCTAATATAATATATATATATATATATATATATATATATATATATATATATGAAAATTTCTCAGAGTTAACCTGCAGAAAAATACAATATTTATAAATGTAAAAGACAATAGAAGAACTGTAATTGTTGCCGACGCATTTCGTTGGATTTTCATTTCATTTTGGACGAAATTACAACTATTACAGTTTCCCTATTGTCTTTTATATATATATATATATATATATATATATATATATATATAGTCATCAACAGACAGACTGTTTTGCTGTATCACAGCTCATCAGTGCGACTATATGTCCGATTGCCCTTGCTATATATAAAATGTAGGGGATTTAGACAAATCATTATAGTCATTCATCGAGTCTAGAGGATTCGAATCTCGGTAGTGGATGCGCACTGCTGATGCGTCCCAAAATAG